ATGTGCTAGTTGTTCCCAACACTAGGGAGCGCTGCTCATCTCCGTTTCAAAGCCGAAGAGCCAGCGCTGTCCGAAGACGTCTCAGTGGTAATGTGCCTGGTACAACTTAAATCCAAAGACACGGAATGCTGTTACCTTCCCACCAAAGGTGGTTCTTATTTTTCTACTTGCATTTTTAAAGTGCTTTCGAACTGCTAAGTTGGCAGAAGCTGGGAGAAGTAACGGGAGCTCACTCCCTTAAATGGCTCCAGGGATTCGAACCACCGAACTGCCGACCTTTCTGATTGATAAGCTCAGCATCTTAGCCACTGAGCAATTACATCACTAGGTAGCTTACAAAGACTTAAAAGGACAATATAAAATAAAAATAAAAATAATAAAATAAATAACCTCCCCACACCGGTGACAACACACACTCATAACAACCATTTAATGGGATCCAATCCGCTCCAAGTTCCCCAGGCCTGCTGGCAGAGTCACATCTTCAGGTCCTTCCTAAAGAGTGTTACAGTGGGGGACGGTCTAATCTTCGGAGATGTAATGTTCTGGAGGGAGCCACCGTGGAGAAGGCCCTTCTTCTGGGTCTTGTTAGATGTTATCTCCTTCCGCGAGCCCCAGTTGAGCCACAAATTTCTGTTGCTAAGTGGAACTTTTGTTAACTGAGTTTTGCCCCACTTTACGATCTTTCTAGCCACAGTTACTAAGTGAATCACTGCGGGTATTGTTAGCAACACGGTTGTTAAGTGAACCGGGCTTCCCCATTGGCTTTGCTTGTCGAAGAAATGAGCCTGGGACGGCAACCGTCATAAATATGGGTCAGCGGCCAAACGTCTGAATTTTGATCACCTGATCGAGGGGATATTGCAGTGGTTGTAAGTGTGAAAAATGGGATTTTGCCCTCCTAAACATACCCATGGGCTCCGAACTCATTGTGATGTCCATTTTGCTATCCCAATTCATGGAAGCCTAACCCTAACCCTAAGTGGATTTACCTGCCAAGGGGATTTCCCCCATATATTTTACCAGGAAATACAGATAAGCCAGACTCGAAAAGTCAGTGCCCTCCTAAACATATCCATGCACTCTGAATTCGTTGCCGACATCCATTTTTCTGTCCAAATTCATGGAGGCCTAACCATAACCCTAAGTGGGTTTTCCCACCAATGGGATTTTCCCATGTATTTTACCAGGAAATGCAGATAAGCCAGACTCAAAAACACCATGCCCTGCTAAATATATCCATGCACTCCGAATTCGTTGCCTCTTTCCCCTTTGTTGTCTGAATTCATGGGGGCTTAACTCTTCAGTAGTTTCTCTGTCTGAAATTCTCTGGGGTTTGCAGCACTTTGGAGGGTCAATCTGTAGCACCACGCCACTGTGAGCATTTAGTTTTCTCAATGGATGGAAGAAAGAAGTGTTTCTTCTTCCCCAGCTTTACTGGGGAATTCTGGGAATTGAAGTCCACTGATCCTAAGGGGCCAAGGTTGGGAAACACTACTATAGAGCAGGAGTCCCCAATCCCTGCTCCGCAGCCCATTCAGAACTGGCCACAGAAGTGGTGGCAGAGTGCGCATGAAACCATCCCGTCTAACCCCCATCGCCATCGCTGCCAGTCTATCAAGCTGGAAAGGTGGGGAAACAACCTTTCCCAAAGCAGGACCATGGACCTCAACTCCTGGTCCATGGACTGGCACTGGGTCTCAGCATGCCAGAAACCAGGCTGTGCAAACAAATGAAATCCCATCTGTGGGATGCAGGCATAGCATATGAAACCATGCCCCATCAAGTCCATGGAAAAGTCTTTCTCCACAGCTCCAGTCTCTGGGTGCTCAAAAGGTTGGTGGTCACTGCAATAGGATATTCACTCAAGAATCATGTCCCACTTCTTATATTTACCCTTTGCAACCTTGTGGCATCCTGATAGTATGGAGTACTGCCTCATTCTCCCCAGGCAAGGGGGTTCATGAGCTAGTATAGGAACAGGCTTATTTGAATTGGTTTTGGTAACTGTAGGAAAATGCCTATAAATGACATTTCCTTCTTCTTCTTAATAACTATAGAAGAAGGACGATCCCGATTCCACTTACAATGAAGATAACTTGGCTCTCTGCATCACTGACCTCTTTATTGCTGGGACAGACACAACTTACGCCTCCCTGACATGGGCAATGCTTCTCATGGCAAACAATGTGGATGTACAAGGTAAGACAAATTGCAGCACTAGGGGAAATGAACAGGGTTTATTAGTTGTGGAGTGAAATAGAGCAGGGGTCGCCGACCTTGGCAACTTTAAGCCTGGAGGACTTTAAGTTGAGTTGAAGTCCACCAGGCTTAAAGTTGCCAAGGTCGGAGACCCCTGAAATAGAACACATTTCTTTCTCAGAGGATTTGCATCTAGATGCCCCGGTATGCCCCGGTACGCCCCGGTACACCCTGGTACACCCCGGTACAGGTGTACCGGTGCCTGCTGGGAGCACCATGTACCGTTCCGGTATGGTGCTTCAGAGGGCCCACCCTCCTGCCCGCCCTCCTTCCCTATATTTGAAACGAGTGGGGCTTCCGCGCATGCATACAGAGCATATGGCTCCTGCATGACGCTCTGTCGAGCAGCTGGAGCATCACGGGCAGTAAATATGTATGCTCGCGTGCATGTGGTGGACACCTGGCCCCATTGCACCGTGGGGAATAACAGAACACAGCCGCAAGAAAATGGCAATTCTGTTGATCACAATACTCACCTTTGACAGCAGAAAGAGAGAGTCAACCTATTCAACACTCCAGAAGACAGGCTTAAGATACAGAAGGATCTTGACAAACTTGAACATTGGGCACTATCTAATAAAATGAAATTCAATGGTGAAAAGAGTAAGGTTCTACATTTAGGCAAGAAAAACGAAATGCACAGGTACCTGGGTGGTACCTGGCTCAATAGTAGTAACTGTGAA